TCCATTTCCTGGTGTTTCTTGTGGCTTGTCATGTCACCTTGAGTGTGCTTTAAAGCATGATGGTTCTGGAATTGGAAAAGAGGGTGAGCGTCCCAAGCTAGATGGAGGCTTCTACTGTGTCTCTTGTGGGAAAGTAAATGATTTACTCGGGTAATTATACTGAAGCTATTCAGTTTCTCAAATGACATCATGTATCTATTTAAAATTTCTGCTTCATTTTTCCTCTATCTAGGAATGTCTTGAACGCTATAAGCTTACTACACATGCAAAATAATATGTAACAGGGTTCTAGAAGATTGAATTTAGTCATTTGTTGTCTACAAAACGCAACAAAATAGACAATAATGGGGGAAAAAGTCAATTGAGTCAATAATATAAACGGAAATCTGTCTATTTCCTTCTTTTTTTTTAGAAGATTCTTCCTCCCCCTTTCTTTTGTTTAGTTCATAAAGCTTTAGGCTGCGTATAATAATAGCAAATTGGATCATGTTTTTTTTTTTTAGTTTATAATTTGCTTTGAACATTCGTAGGATTGTTATTTCTAGATGAATCTTAGGCATGATCAGTTTTGTGAAAGAGAGAGAGATTAATTAATTTTTGATTGCATAGATATGATGATGAGTGACCCTCTACTCAACAATATGGTGAAGATATTGTAATTGTTCAATAAAAAGATGGTAAAGTTGTTCTTTCAATGAGTAGTGTATGTGCCATATTACTTTTAGGATAAAATTTTGTAAATAGGCAAGTTTTGAATCTCATGTGGGCTTGTTTCTTAAAATGTATCAGATGCTGGAGAAAACAGCTGATGGTAGCAAAGGATACTAGACGTGTTGATATACTCTGTTATCGTGTCTCCTTAAGCCAAAGACTTTTACAAGGAACTGAAATGTATGAAGAACTTTATAAAATTGTTGATGAAGCGGTGAAGAAACTTGAACCGGAAGTAGGTCCACTAACTGGCTCACCAGTGAAGATTGGCAGGGGGATTGTGAACAGGCTTTCATCGGGACCTGAGGTTCAGAAACTCTGCGGTTTTGCTATAGAATCACTTGATTCACTGCTTTCGAAAAGGATCTTGCCTTCATCACCCAACCCAACAACTCAAGGTGATCACTCTTTCCATATTTTTTTTCTCTATTTCCCTCTTGGATCTCATTTACGATAAAGTGGAAATTCATCTACTGATTTGTATTCCACCCTCAGCCCCAAAAGTCCCAAATAAAAGACCTACTGACTAGCTGGTGGTTTGTTTTATATATGGAGCCAACTATACTTCTTGCTTTCATTTTATCTTAATATTTAGCTCTCTTCTGGGTAATTGGTACAGATATTGAAATACTTTAGTGTAAAGAAGAAATAATTTTATGAGTTTTATGTTTGAGATTAGTCCCCCAAAAGTAATTTTGGATAATTGGAGGTGCTGAAATTACTTATGGCCACATCTAACAATGTTAATTTACTTTTGGGACCTGAGACCCGAAATTATTTCTGGGATCAGCTGCCAAACATGATTACTTGACATCCAAGGTTAGCTCTGTGTATGAGCTTGTATTGAATTTTGTTTCAAAGTACATAACTGTGGCGTTGGGTGCATGCATAGTACAGTTATCAGCAGGTAATTTTTTTGTGACTGGGTCTAGATTCTCGAATAATATTGATCTGTGTACATACTTCACATTTTCAGATGCACACTTGCTGGCTCCAAATATGGTGAGGTTTGAAGATGTCACTGCCACGTCCCTCACTATTATTTTAGGTTCTGATGAACTCACTGATGAAAACACTGCTGCTTACACCTTGTGGCATCGCAAAGCTGATGAAGTGAACTATCCCACAGACCCGACTTGCACCTCGCTCCTACCAAATAGAAGGTTCAGTGTCACGGGTCTAATTCCAGGTACAGAATACAGTTTCAAAGTTGTTTCCAATGATTCAAGGGAGTCAGGTACGTGTGAAGTTCAAATCTCAACAGAGCATGGGGAGGATGAAGTTCCTAATTGCTCGGCAACAGAAAGAAGTCAGAGTCCAGTAACCAACTGTAGCAGCCTTTCAAATCCATCATCAGTGGAAGATGAAACTAATAACTGCAATCCATACAGTGATCTGACTGATAACCGAGCAGACCATTATCCTTCTTATCACAAGGATAGCGACCAGCTTGCTTCTGGAAATTTAGCTAATGATGCTATTAACTGTTCCAATATAGGCGGCATGGTTCCTCCTGATGCAGATTCTTTGTCAGACAAGCAGCATGCCGGAGGAATGCCTGGCTCTGTACCTAGTTCTGAAGTTCTAAAGCTTGAAAACAAGCATTCACCAGAGGAACAAGTCACCGAGGACATGAGCACCGACGATGGGTTGAATTCCCCACCTCTAACGGGGAGGGAATGTGTGCCGTTAGTAGGTAGCTCAGAAGGCGGCTTGCCTAACACTCCCTGCAAGTTGGAAACACTTAAGGATGGACCTGGAAGGAATGGAAGATCTAAGTCCAGTGGCAAAGATCAAGAAAATGGATCTGGGAAAAGGGATGGCCCCCAAGATGGTAGCACATCCAAGAAGAGAAGTGGAGAAAGGCAAGATGAGGGCCGTGTCACAAATGGTTTTTCGGACCGGGATTTTGAGTATTATGTGAAGGTGATTAGGTGGTTAGAGTGTGAAGGGCACATAGAAAAGAACTTCAGGCAGAAATTTCTGACTTGGTACAGCTTAAGAGCCACCCATCAAGAAGTAAGGATTGTGAAAATATACATTGATACATTTCTTGAAGATCCAGCATCTCTTGCTGAGCAACTTGTGGACACCTTCTCAGAATGTATATCCAGCAAGAGAACATCAGTGGTGCCAGCGGGGTTCTGCATGAAGCTTTGGCATTGACCAGATTTTGTAGGTCCAGCTACTAGCCCCAAGCTTCAAGCCCCTCCTGGCTTCTCATGCAGTAATTCTTTAGATTTTTAATATTCTTCATTTAGACAGTTAAAATACATATATTTATTTCATCATTATCATTCATATGATGATGTAAGAATTTTAGATTACTTTTATTATACAGTTACTGTTTCAAATTGATATATTTTTTTTCTTTTAATTTTCTACTCGGTTATGGTTACACTCTTTGGTAGGTGACGTTGAAAGATTTATGTTAAATTAATTTATCTATAGTTTTAGTCTTTTCTAGCTGACGAGGCTCTCAATTAGTTCAAAAAAGTTTCTTCGACTCGTGGGTGGAAGGTTCTTCTACCAATTTGATTGTACAGGAGAAATTTGTGTTGACTAAGCCATCGTGTAGATTAAGTGAACGATATGTTGAAACATCATTAGTCAGCAACAGTTAACAATAAGTAAAGCTAACCATTGATGGAGTAATAATCATGGATAATTAGATGTTAATGAATTTGTCCAGAAATTCAAATTTCGACAAGTTGATCTTCACTTTTACTAGTGCTTGAACTCTTACGATGCCTGTCAAGCAAGAAACGGTAGAAGTTGATGGTCGCGTTTCTGACCTCGTACGTGATTATTACAGCAATGGGTTGGTTAATGAAACACGAAATTTGGTCTGTATTGAACCTTGACAAGCGTATTTAAAAATCTCAACTATTTACCAATTGTTTGATTTTGGATAGCTCATGCAATTCCTTAAAGGAATGATGTTTGCCATATCGCCCTGGTGCATGTGTTTGAACCTTGTTGCCTTGTTGATTTTGAACTAATTGGATAGCTCTCAATTAGATCTAAAACGGATCAACTTGTGGGCGGAAGTTTTATTGTTGGCGTGGATTGTGGAAGGTTCTTCTACCAATTTGATTGTACAGAAGAAATTTGTGTTGGCTAAACCATCGTCTAGATTAAGTGAACGATATGTTGACACATCATTAGTGAGCAACAGTCAACAAAAATTAAAGCTAACCATTGATGGAGTAATAATCATCAATAATTAGATGTTAATGTATTTGTCCAGAAATTCAAAATTCGGAAAGTTGATCTTCACTTTTACAAGTGCTTGAAAACTCTAACGATGCTGCTTAAAGCATGGGTTCCACTATCTTTGTTAGGGAATTTATCTTTGGTTCAAGTATAACATTGATTGAAATCTATGCAAAATTATTTGGATGTTAATAGTGGAATGGGGAGTGCCATGGCATCAGTTGAAAGAATCATATTTGCTTTAAATAATCAATTGGCAAAGGTTTGAGTCAAACAAAATGCAGCGAGTTTCTTTGTTGTCGTAGTGCTTGCCATCACAAATATCTATTTCTATTGCATGAAGATAAATAATATATATGGTGGGTGTCCCACCATCCGCTGTGCACTATAGATGCATGCATGGTTGATATTTTGACTCGAGGTGGACAAATCATGATATATGTTCATTAATGTTGTGTCATTGATTTAGGGGTCTTTTCTCAATGGGTAATATGATGATCATAAGAAGGGACAGGGAAATGGGAAATATTTGGGGGAATTAATAGAGCCTCAATATAATGGAAGCTACGATTAGTATTGCTTGGAGTTTCTTAAAATTTGATCAAAACGTCCACAATTTTGTAGTATAGGAAGCAAGATCGAGGATTTCAGTATAACAAAGGATATGCACTATATTATTACTATTATTATTTGAAGTAGTATAGTTTGGTTGACATAGATTTCAGACTCTGCTTAAGTCGGTTTTGCTCGTGCAAATTGAAGAAATCACTCTTAATTTGGCTAGTAGAGAAGGTTGTTGGGATTCCTACAAAGTCCAGATCCAGCCAAACTTGTATATCGTGCACTAGAATGGCCAAAGAAAAAGTGGAGGAATCGTTTGTTTATTTTATTTCAACTTGTTGGTAAAATTTCCTCAGCACCAGGATTTGGCGGGGCCCTACCAGTACTCATAATTTTTTTAAAAAAGCATGGTATGTACTATTTAATTGTTGATGAAATCAAAGATTTTTGAAGCCTAATTAATTAAACTCTCCCTTTTCTAGTGCCCACCGTTTAATAATACTACTTAGTACTTAACACGTCATTTCAGGATCACCAAAGCCTGTTTCTTTAGTCCTTTGTCTAACTACAGTGCCTCAAAAACTGATTTAAGTTATTCTTAGTTGCATAGCCCCTGTCCTTTCAACACTTAATTCAGTAAAATGTCTGCTGGAACTTTTGCAGCTGTGGTTGCTGGGGCTGGCTTTGTTGGCTTGAAGTCCAACTCATCAAATCTTAATTACCCAATTACAGGCTCCATAGAATGGAAAAGGAAGATTGTTTCCAATGGTTCTAAAACTCGCTGCATGCAGGTGAATCGTCCACAAGTAACAACATGTATTAGTTTTTACTTTTTAGTACCACCAACGACCCCTCTTTTTCTAACACGTTTTGATCTATGATGTGTTTAAACTTGCAACAGACATGGAATCCCATCAACAATAAGAAGTTCGAAACACTGTCCTACCTGCCACCCCTTTCTGATGAATCCATCGCGAAGGAGATCGACTACATGCTCAACAAGGGATGGATTCCTTGCCTTGAATTTGATGAGGTTAGTTTCAAATAAATTTAGATTGTACTATATATTTTTTAAAAATGTTAACAACATTTTTTTAGCAATTTTTTATTATTCTTTGTTAATCTGTTACCTCTAAATCAAACATATAACCATCAAAATTTATGTTTTTATAATAAATTTTGAGTGTATTAAAGAGAATATGACGCTAGCTTATATATTTATGTTTTTTTTTTCCTTTGAAAGAAATAATTAAATATCTTAGAACTATTTATATTGAATCTTTTAAAACACATCTAAATTAACGATTTTTATGCTATCACCTTTCTATTAAATTTATGGATTTTATTTTTCTAAAGTGAGGAAAAAGTTATTTTGGATGATAAAATATATTAATAATTATTGATTAAAAAATCAACCACCAAAATAGAAACTAAATTCAAAGTTTAGTATATATTTAATTTTAATTTCAATCTCAACCATTGATTATTAGTCAGCGATAAATAATATATAAATGCATATTATTATACTTTTGCGTATTGCTAGGATGTAAAGCTTTATTATTGTTCTGATCAGCTCTTCTGATTTAGGCTAGCTAGGTAGATTCTGTGTCTTTATATCTCGGAGAAATATATTTATGTTTTTACATTGATGGTTTGGTTTTATAAAAATGGTTGTATATCTTAGTAACATGAAACTATATATGTTGTTTGGAACATGAAAGTTGGGGTGTGTTCATAGAGAAAACAGCCAAATGCCAGGATACTATGATGGGAGGTATTGGACATTGTGGAAGCTACCAATGTTTGGTTGCACTGACTCTTCCCAAGTCCTCAACGAGATTCATGAATGCAGAAAGGCATATCCAAATGCATACATACGCTGCTTAGCATTTGACAACCAACGCCACATGCAGTCCATGGCTTTCATCATTCACAAACCTCCTTCCACTTGAACCATTTGTATTCAAATCCTTGTTACAATTCTCAATCTTGTATCCATATTTTTTTCTCTTTCTATATTTCTCCTTTTTTTTAAAATGTAATATGAAGTTTACTGTTTACTTATCTAGCTGTATGAATGAGATGAAAAGTTACAGCCTTTTTTGTTTGGTTTAATTTTGAATTTAATTCTACCACATATAGTGTAATTAACTAATAACATGGTGTATTTATTAAATTAAAAAAAATGTACTTTTATTTATATACTTTAAACCCAAGTTTATTTTTAAGAGTGTTTTTCATTTATCAAAAACATAAAACTAAAACTACGTCCTATTTCATTATGGTACGCATAAATGAAAATGATTTGGCCCTGGATAGGGATCACACATGGTGGATTTCTCTTCAGGAGAATGTTCAGTGGACACCTTAATGGGTGTTTAGGCTAAGAGAAAAGGAAGTAGTAGAGTGGTGATAGAAAATAGAATGGGATGAAAAGAGAAAAATAAAAATAAAATAGAGTCATGTATGTAGTGTGCGAAGGGATGTCAATGGAGTCCCACGGGGCGGGTAATAGTAAACTCATTCCCGCTCCGCTAGATGAAAATTGGTTCTATACTCATCTCATATCCGCGCGGGTATCCATGAATTTCTTGAATACCCACAGATATCCATGAATATTTATAATTTTTTTAAGAAATTAAAAAAATTATTATAAATAATTTTAAGTTTATATTTAATGTCATTGAAATATTAAAAAATATTTAATGTTAATTTTGAACTTATATTTAACGTTAATTTTGTTAAAATAATAATAAAAATGCAAGATAATCAATAATTTAAAATATATCAATCTCATAAGTAAGTGAAAGTCTCATGTTACATAGCTACAATTATTCAATCTCATAATTCCAAACGAAAGTAAACAACTAAAAATACATAAATCTTATTGGCCCAATCAAAGATAGAAAATTAATCAAATTACATCCAACATAATTCTATAACATGTTTAACACATGTTGGTAACTTCATCAACCTCACTTTTGTAAGAAAATAAGATGAAAGAGTGTAGTTTTAGGGTTATGTGGTACAAGGATAATTAGGATATTTAAGATATTATTAAACGGGTATCCGCAGGTATGGATATCATCATACCCGCCCCTGCCCCGTTTATAAACGGGTAAAAAATTATCCGTCTCCATTATCCGTGGATACCTAATTAGCCTATCCATTTATTATCTATAACGAGTTTTATCTGCAAATACCTGCAAATGCGAGTATTTTTGTCATTTCTAAGTGACCTAGCACTCGTTTCTTTCTTTTTTTTGGAAAAGAGGACACATCAATGGGAGAGAGAAATGAAAAAATTGACAGATAATATGATACGATGAAAAGAAAAAGAAATAAAATGCGTCAAATATCAATTAGATGTAAATATTATTATACATATGCCAATGTTTCAATATCGTGCTTTTTTGGGTCAAGAAGGATTGCCAGTTTTCAATTTTTATTTTTGGCTAAACCAGCCCATAGATTTAAGCATGCGCCCCCTGATTAAAAATTGATGATAAACTAATGAGTTAGTGGGGTTAGGATTAGGAGAGACATTGATTTAACCTCTAATGTAGGCAAGTTGACTGTGATACGACTAAATCACCATTAAACAATCAATTTTCTTTAATATTAATAAAGTGTTCTTCATGCCAACTGCCAACGCCGAATGACTTAAGGGACACATGAGATGTCATGTTCCGTTGTCCCTTTCCATTTTTTTTTCTTTTCGCAAGTTTAAATATATAACTAATCAATTTATTTATAATATAAAAGTTTAAATTCTCTTTATTACGATAATACATTATTTTAAAATAAATTTTAAGTATTATCATGTCAATACTAACATTATTTTATAATTTTTCTCTTTTTAATATATATTTTCATCTATGTAAATTTAGTCATAAATTCACTTTTGAAAATTTAGCTACAAATCTACTTCCAAAAATTTAGCCTCTCATATACCCGCCAAATAGATTGAAGATCTTACAATTATTGTTGAGTGTGTGGATCTAATATATTGATTGTGGTATGCACATCATCTTCTCTTCCATTACCTTCACCTCCTCCAAGATAACATTAACATTAACATCTCTCTTAGGCAACGTCTTAGACCTTGTGATCGTAGTCAAAATTGCACTTAAGCTCGTTTGTCCCAATATTGCCTTTTCTTTTGTGTCGACATCCTTTTATCATTATGATCTCTTTACTATGTTCGGTAGCCTATTCTATTTTGTCTTCCTTACTTAGCACGACAGTCGCTTTTTCCTCGCTTCTACTATTCCTCACCGTCTCCCCACTCTTTCCATCCTCATTCTCCAAATCCATTAAAATGATTAATACTTGTTAGTAGTTAATGTATTTTTTGGCGTTAGCTATTTTTTAAGAAATCTATATTTTTTTTCCCTTTTGATTTTCTTGGTATTTATTTGGTTACAAATTAAAATAGTAGTTGAATAATAATGATAATATGCACAAATTGCATTTTTGATGGTGATATTCTTAACCAAAGAATTGATATATTATTGTGCATAAATAATTAAATTATATTTTTGTTATAAATGCATAGATTAGTGAATTATTTGTAATTAAGACATTTCTAAATTTGTGATTATGTTTGAGAATGTATTATGTTAAATATGATGATGATGATTTGATATATATTTTAAGATTTGCATGATTTATTGAAAATGATGTTAAAGATCATATCATGACGACATGTATTTAGAAAACATTCATATAAATTTCAATCTAATGTGTCACCCTTTATCTCATATATCTTATCTTTATGTAATTTGTGTATTAGTGTATTTAGAAAACATGTTTATATAAATTCTAATATAATATATTATTTTTATGATACAATGTGCTCATAGAAACTAAAATTAAAGGATCAAATAAAGTGTTACTATAATTATATTAAAACTTTTATAACTCCCATCTTTATAATTAGTGTTAATTATTAGTATTCACCCTATGAATTAAGCATTGGATCGAGAAAAATTAAGCGTTGTTTGATTTTAGAAAATGTTTTTGTTTTTTAGTTTCTATTTTCATTTTCAAAAAATGATTTTCATTTTCAAATTTAGAAAACAATTTAATTTCTCAATATCTAATTTTAGAAAATGAAAATATTCAAAACGTATTTGGTTTAACTATTTTCAAAGAAAAATAAAATATTTTTAATAAAGTTTACAATTTTTTAAAATATTTAATAACATATTTTCTTAATAATTGACTATCAAAAAAGATAATTAAAAATAATTGAAAAATACTAATATCACAGTAAAAACAATTATAAATCATCGTATCTCATATTCATATTGAAATATTTATGATTATAATTGAAATATATATAATATTAAAATTTGTGTATCTTTTATTTAGCTTTATATTCTTAGTTTTAGAGTCATACTTAACCAATATTTTAGATTTAATTTAATTTTAATTTTTTTTATCAAACAATTGGCATACTCAAGAAATTAAATTTACATCATATTGGAATAAATTAAAATTGAAAAAGAAATTATCTGTGGAGCATGGTTCCAACAAAAGAAAAGAGAGAGAGAGATTTGGTGTCTCATGTACTACATCTATTAATGGTAAAGAATAAGAAAGATAAGGAGAAAACAAAATTACAAACCAGAAAAAAAAAATCTATGCAGATAAAATGCATGATATAAATTAAAAAATTATAATAATAAAAAATAGACCAAGAATAAAGAGAAAACGCAAAACACAAGTAAAATTGTTTTTTCAACAAGGACTATGAAAACACAAAAATTATTTTGAAAAGAAAAGAAAAATTAAATATCAATAAATTATACTACATGCTACTGCATTTTGTTTCTCCATTCAAAAACTAAAAATAACTTTATTTTAGTTTTAGATTTTAGTTGATTTTTAAAAAAAAACTGTTTTCTAAAATTTAACCATACATATTTTCTTTATTTTTTTTTGAAGAGCTGAGCATTAGCTCAATTCATTAACAATAAGAGAGAAGATACAATTAGAGATGTATGCAAAATCTTTAAGATTAGCATATCATTTGGAGGCCTTTGCAAGATTGGCAGCCACCAAATTAGTTGATCTATGGGTGAAACTTACATTGAAGTTGGCACAAGAATTTATCTTATTGCTACAATGATTCATAATGTCACTAAATTCAGTTCTATCTTTCAGGTTGGGATGAAGGAAAAAACTTTCAATTCTGCTGCTACTAGATTCGAAGAGGATGGGCGCATATTGAAATTCCAAAGCCAAAATGATGGCTTGTATGAGAGCAATAGCATCTCTAATACTGGCAGGAGGAAGACCAGAGATCTTGAGGGTGCGTGCACCCACAAAGGAACCCAAGCTGTCTCTAATGCAGAAACCAATTCCGAATGTATTCTCATCAGTGTTAGGGAATGTGGCAAAATTGCACTTGTATGAACCATGGGGTGGGGGAGACCATTGGGTAGTCGAGGTGGGACCAGGAGTACCTCTAGCATCAAGAGGCCGCTGGTTAGCCAAAGTCCAATTGTGTCTGGAGTAAGGGCACGGTGGACAATTTCAGATATATTCCAAGGCATATCTTTCCATAGGAGATTATTCCTACTAGTCCAGATACTCCACATCATCATGCTAAAGTCAGTCGCATCAGAAATGGACCAAAGATTAAGGATTTTGTTCACAAGATCAGTAGTACCATTAGCTTTATCAATGTTGGAACTCATCTTGTCCTTTAGATTACTAGCCAACCAGCAATTTCTCGCATCATAACATCCAAACAACGCATGCCAAGAATTCTCGATACCAACATCACATCTTGGGCAACTGATGAAGCAGCTCACACCTTTCTTTTGAAGCTGGGCACGGGTAGGAAGAATATTTTTATAGACTCTCTATGTGTGATGTTTCACTTTCGCAGGAATAGAAAGACTCTAAATGATGTTCCAAGTTTTGTCAGGATCCATAGTGTTAGTTGGGAGGAGAGAGTTTGTTATGTACGCAGACTTGACCGTGAAGCATCCATCATTAGACCATTTTCTTTATTGTTTTGTAATTTTTATGAAAATGAAAACAAAAAAAAAATGTTCAAAGCAACCAAGGTCTTATAATTTCCTCCATCCCTATTGTATCGTTCGAAAACAAGATAATTTTTGTTGCAAAAAGCTCTATTTGTTACACCAACAGTATGAAACTAAAAATTTCTTTTCCAATTATCATTTAACTATCTTGATCCTTTCAAGTGGTCTATTATCATTTAACTCACAATATGTTTAAAGATATTTATTATTTTTCTTTAACTTAAATTAATCTTTCTATATAAATATTTTACACATAAATATTTTATAAATTTTAATATAATATTAAATTATCTATACAATTCGTTATAACTTACACATTTCACATTTCTTAATGCGTGGAAGTTTCCATGTCTTGTTATACTTTTATTATGATAACTTACCGCAATTTCCCGTCGTTCAATACGTAGCATGGTTACTCTTTCATCAAGATACCATGCCTAGAAGCCATTAGTATATAATTAACTTCTTCATAACATTTTTCTTTGGTGATATAAATGCCATTGCTAGATAGATAAATTTTAATTTTCAATGATTGATTATATGTCATAAAAACATAAGAAAATCGAAATTAGTCCCATTTTTATACTCCAGAAGCACTTTTAAAAATAGAAAAGAAATTAAAATAACTCCCGTAAGATAAAACTAACTTTTATATAAACTAATTTTTTTTAGAGAAATTAATTAAAGAGAACTCTTACATGCTATATTTTATATATATATATATATATATATATATATATATATATTAATTTTAACTTACAAAATAATTCTATTTTACTTTTTCTTTTTTAAAAGTGTTTCTAAATAAACTTATCCGAACATTTCCTTTGTATTTTAATTTCAAAAATATAATTGTGAAGCACAAATACAAAATAATTGAGGCATTTTTTGATTAGGTATTGATAAGGTGAAATCATATATCCCAACATTAAACTTGGTTTTGGAGTAGCTGTCACAAAATTTTGTCCGAGAGTCACCACTATTTAGTGCCCGAATCTTGTAGTATCTGTATCGGTAGATATAGAGTTAGAGGTACACAAGTAACACGACGGAGGGAGACCCCGCTGCTTTGCCATAAGACGCATTCGAAGATTAAGGACCAGAATACGTAGGTAACATCTTACACTTGTTGCAATATTTTGCGCATTGATAAGAATTCAAACTAATAGTTTACGACAGAGTTCACAAACTCGCACGTCCATCGGTCATGATATTGAAATGCAGAGTTACTTGATTACATAAAGCATGTGCATCCCAAGGTGTAAGGCATGCAAGCCAAATCTCCATACTGTATGAAAACTTGGCAAATTCTATGAATGACAGATAGACAATTAGAGAGGTAAAAAATAAAACATGCCTAACACCAATTACACTGGACATTGAGCGGAAGGTATTGCGCTCTCATTTCGGATCCACCAAGGGTTTCTGGTTCCAATATTCCACATGACTGAACTGCCACCAAAAGCTATTTTCTCATCTGCAATGAAAAATGTTGATACTTGATTAAGCAAAGGAAAATGCATAATTGAGTGAAAGATAATTCATGAAATGTTGACCGACAGGTAAAAGGAGGAAGATTGCACTTGCGTTTTTTAATGAAAATCGAAAAAATGGCTAACTCATTCACAAGCCCCACCTGACTGATTATTTGAATTCCCATACCAAACTAACAATTTTGCAGAAATCAATTCATGCAAAATCACACTACAAAATCTGCTGTGAAAATTTCATTTGTTACAGCATAAAGACATGCAACCAACACTGGTGTAAACAAGAAAAATATGAATGCAGGGAAATTAACCTTACATAATACGTTTCAAAGTTTAGGAATACTAGTTATACAAATGAATAATGTAATAGAATTTGGTGGGGGGTTGACATTAAAATAACTATAAACACAGGATGTCAAGGAGTATTTTTTTCAAAACTAGCGGTGATAGTAAATAACCATTGTCGAAGCTAATACTAACATAACATCTTTCTGTAATGTAATAGAATTTGGGGGGCGTTAACATTAAAATAACTATAAACACAATGTTAATGTCAAGGGGTAATTTTTTTTTTCCCAAACTAGCAATAATAGTGAATAACCATTATCCTCATGGTTGTCAATCTCTAGTGATAACTCGTAAACTCGTATGAGTTTACGAGATTAGGACAGCCTACCTGGATAACTCGGAGGTAAACTCGTTTTTGAGTAATCTCAGAGTAATCTCGGTAATCTCGGAGTAATCTCGGTAATCTCGCGAGATCACGTTCGAGTTTAAGAGATCACATTTTTTTTTTCATTTACACAAAACATGCGTTTTGTGTTAGGATTTAGGAGCTCTCATTTAGTCTCTGAACGCATCTCCTTCTCCGTGTCGCCTCCTCCGTGCTCCTCCTCTCCTCCTCGCGCGCCTCCTCTCCCCGCGAGCCTCCTCTCCCCAAGAGCCTCTTCTCCCTGCGCGCCTATTCTCTCCCGCGCGCCTCCTCTCCCTCGTGCGCCTCCTTTCGTCCGCCCACCTCTGCTGTTCTTCTCCTCCGCTTTCTCTTCCACGCGAACCAACTCTTGATGTCTTAGTTTTTTATTTGTCTATTTTTAAGAACTTGTGTTTTGTCATTTGTGTGAACTTTTGTTAAGAACTTGTGTTAAGAAAATTTATTCTTAATGTCATTTACTATTTTAATATTTAATATGGAGTTCAAATGTTCAATTATTCTGTTATTTTTACTTAACTATTTATTTTTTATTGAGTAATCTCTTACGAGTTTACGATACGAGTTTACAATACGAGTTTGCGGAGCTTCCACGAGATTACGTAAACTCTCGAGATTGACAACCTTGATTATCCTTATTGCCAGTAATGTTATTTATAAGTTACATTGTCATAGTTTATCCCTTTGACAAGCTAATACTAACATAACATCTTTCTGTTCTACAAAAGTAACACGGAAGCAAAACAAATGCACTCCAGCAGTGAGCCCAATTATATAATATGTACTTTATCAGAAAATTTATAGTTACTATTGCCATTGTATTCAATCACAATTTACACCTTATGTTCACAGTCTAACTGCTTGTAGATGAAATCTCTCTACAATCTCCAGTCTCCAATCTTAAACAGGTTTTTGTTCTGGTTTGGAGAACTACCTCTAGAAAATCTTAGTGACTACCCAAGTTCAGAACATTCAAAGAGTAATATCTTGTTTGTCCTAATCCTAAATCTCCTATATATACCTATGTCTAATTGTGTGTCTGCATTTCAAAGGTAAGCCCAAAAATCTTGGCACTAGATAATTTTATTCTACAATGAGCCATAAATAACTACTAATTCACATTCCTTACCGTTTACCATCTCACAACTTCCCTCCAACATGCCTGTCAATTCTTTGATCAATAGTCTTTTAGTAACTTGCTTTACCAAATGGATCAATTGTCATCATCCCTTGAAGCAAATGAGCCTAGGCTAGTATGCTTAAGTTTGGGAATGTGTACTATATAAGAAAAGCTAGAGGTGTTTGGCTGAAAGAAGGGAGAAAAGCACATGAGGGTGTGGAGAAGTGCTAGTCAATAAGATACAAAGAAGAGAGAATTAAGGTGGGAAGGCATAATAGGGATAAATAAGTTAGGAGAAGAGTATGGACGAGTTCTGTTAGTGAATTGAGGTTTGGGATGAGTTCTGTTACACATCACATTTATCGTCTTGTCTGCCTAAGCAACCTATCTCCACACTGAATGACTTAGCAGCATAGAAGCTCTGAGTATAATACAAGTACTACAACAAGAATGTGATTTATACCATAATGCAAAAAGGGAATTCGAGCTTTGTCATGACCACTATCACGACTTGAAACATAGAGGAATAAAATAGAGAGGTGACTAATTTGTCACTTCTCACCTCTTATGTCAGAATCTCTTCTCTTTGTAATTTGTACAAATGTCTAGCATCTACTACCAGGAATGGACGCATGCATACTAAACCACCATCCAGCCTAACTTCCAACAGCAACCTAATTTCGTGTGAGTTTGATTTGACACAAATTTTAAAGAAATTAAAAGACAACCTCTGAATTAAACTCAACACTAAGGATTGGAGAGTAAATTAGTTAGTGTAACATGGTGAGTGTAGTTTACTCCAAGCATAGGCTTGATTGGAGAGTTGCAGGGATTAATGTTCAAGGGAGAAAAATTTACTAGTTGATTTGTGTTTGTTAGCCTAGGAAAAAAATGAGAGTACATTATCATAGATACAAAACTCTTCATTTTGGGTGCAATAGTTACCATAGTCAGGTGTAACATGACAGTAGAAAAATAGAGAGTATCAGATTTTTTCTCTTGGGACAGGTTACAGATAAAACACTACCGAAGCAATGTTAAAGATAAAACGATTTGACAAAACACTCTAGCATAACATGAAAGCCATATAACCACAACAAAATTCACCTAACCAAAGCCAAGCATTAATACTAAACTGTACAATGTAATACGCGAAAAGAAAGGCACACTCCCACACCATGAATAACAGCTATATCACCACAAATCCACACCCACGGACCACAGTCTCGAAGAGGAAAACAATTCAATTGTCAATCATATGCTTAACTAATCTAAATCCGAAGCCAATCGTAAGTGGCAAGCATCAAATTCAAACTAAACCCTAATCCACGAGTATTTGTTGGAAAAGAAAAGAAAATTGAACAAACCTGACTGAAAAAACCCTAGCGATTCCTCTCAGCAGGCAATGGACGGTTAAATCCGCCGCGGCGGTTCATGTACTGGCGCGGTTGGCGCTTGGTGACGGCTCTGACGCCGCTGACGTCAGCACCGGCGACCGGTTTCCCCTTGGTGGAGTCAAATCCAGTGGGAATCCCGAGCATCTTCATCATCTCCACCTCGTCCTCGTTCCCCTCATCTTCTCCTGCGCCTCCGTTCTCCTTCTGCTTCTGCTGCTGCTCCTTCACGATGCCGTCCACGAAGTCCGACACCGCCTTCTTCGTCTCCTTGTGCTCCTCATCCGCGGAGTCTCTCCGGTGGCGCTTCCGCGGCGGGTCGAGGGAGGGAGTCCGGTGGTGGCGGCGGCGGTGGGAGCGGTCGGCGGGCGAGGGAGAGCGCGCGTGGCGGGAGCGGCTACGGTCAGGCGAACGCGAACGGGATCTCTTGCTACGCGCTCGGTCACGGTCACGGTCGCGGTCACGGTCACGGTCACGGTCGTCCTTGTCTCGTCTTCGTTCTCTGTCTCTTTCTCTGTCGCGAGTTCTGTCACGTTCACGGTCACGGTCGCGATCGGCCATGGTTGAAGGTGCGGATTGAGGTTCAGGTCATGCTTGGGTGTGGCACCCTAAACCCTATGCTATTAAGAGAAAAAAAATCATATTTCAATAAGAATATTAGTCTCTATATCAAAAGTTTCTATTCATTTTTAAATGTTTTTATTGTTTATAGAACATTGTAGACAATACGTTATGTGAAAATATATTTTTAATTAAAATCTATCTAAAATCAATAATGTTAAAACATATATATATATATTGAATGAATTAGTTATTTATTTATTGAGAGTGAAATATTATAGTTACATAAATATGTAAAATTTTGATAATTGACTTTACAACTCAAAAGACTATAAATTTTTTTTAAAAAAATATTGATAATTTGTATATAAAAACTTCATTTAAGGTTTTAAAATAACTTCTTAGTGGTCTCAAAATCAATTTTAAAATATATAATTGTGTTAATTATTTATAGAGTTTTTTTTTACTTATAATAATCTTACACAACTCAAATAGACTACAAAAAATACTTGTAATCTATAAATAAATATTTGTTAATCTAGTTTATCTTTAATCCGACCTTTACTTTACATGTCTCCTTCCCCTCTCACTATATTTTACAATATGTCTATTTTTATTTTTTTTTATCACTTTCTCTACCTATCTTTTCTTTCCTTACTCTTTCTCTCCTCCACCTTAATTCACACAAAAAAAAAAAAAAAAGGTGGACTATCATATTTTTTCTTATGTCAATATATATGTGTTGTCACTTATCATCATCACTTGCATATTCACATATTCTCATCTGGAAAATGTTTTGTGACTCCCCAAATCTCATCTATACCTAGATAGATAGAAATAAAAGATATATGTAACAGGTGATATGATATAATAAAAAAAATAAAAACCAAAATATCAAAGATGTGCATATATGAATATTATTTTCATTTTTATATCACTTTATGGACGAATTGCGTGCACACTCACTTTATTGAGTCCTGTATTCGATTCGTTTTAATTCAAACTTATTGGAAGTGCTTGCAACTTCCTTTTTCTTTCGACATCTTTTCCCCACTCTAATCTAATCTTTGTGGCAAAATAAAGTACATACTATTATACGTAAGCATACGACCAAAATGCCTTTGAATTAAGTTTTCAATCATTTTATAAAATATTATAGTTAACATTGATGGCTACAATATATAAGTAAATCAGCCCCACGAATAGATAACACCTACAAATAAATTAGTTTTGACTTTTTCATTTTGATTATCCCATTTTTTTATTATTTTGACAGTGTATAAAAGATACACATGCAAATTTATAATTAAGTAACGTGGAAGATAGAAAACACATGATGAAGACGGCTCCTATTCCTATATATTTCAAATCATTTTCTTAAAACTGTGATATAATGCATTTTTTTTAATGGGAAACTTGAGGTGTATTAAACTTCTTAAAATTATATGTGGGAGGTCGACTCAGTTTTTTTATTTTATTTTGTTTTAAAAACTAATACATAAAGAAGCAATAGTCATCAAAGTCTTTGTTGGAGTATTTATTTAGTTTTGGTATAACTAGGAGTTCCTCTTACGATTTGTGTGTATTTAAAAGTAAATTACATCTATACATATACTGCACATATCATACATTGAATTTAATTGGTTTTTACTCAGTTGAAGCATAATTGTCTTGGATGTAGAATAGGTGTTGGTGTTGGCTATTAAAAAGAATGAAGAAGTGGTAATTTTGTAAAGGCCATTTTCAAAGGTGAGTTAGGCTGAAACCAAACGGTGCCTAAGATTTGGTTTTGGGTTCACTAAACCCTCACGCCATTGATCGGCCTGCCAGGTTGACCAACAAAAACAAAAACAAAACTGGTAGGCAGGGTCAGATACAAACACCATAGACAAAACTTTCTTATTTTCTTTAAATCATTTCATTTTCATTTTCTTTAAATATACGTGTCATATACGTACATCCATCTGTTTCCTTTTGGACTATGAGTTTAAATCAGTCCCTCTCCATTCGTATAAATGTGTAACGCATAACTTAGAATCTTAGACATGTAGATACATTAACTATTAAAAGAGAATTTTGTCAAATATAACGATCTTATCAAAAATATTAGTCTTGTAAAAAAAATTATATTATATTAAGTAGGTGCTAAAGAATGGCCGAAATACTGAAAGAGTACTTGATCAAAGGATATCCAGCTAAGGGTACTGAATCCAAAGATATTTTGGTTGAGAAATACTCAATCGAAGAATATTTAGTGAAAGAATATTTGGCTTAACCTAACACATTCACATTAACATGATAACTTTATCTTGTTTATTTATTTATATTTATATTTCGAGAGTTTGGGCAAGAACATATATGAAGGAAGTTTTTCAATAGTCCATTGGTGAATTGTATAAGAAAGTGAAGATAGTATATACAGTATACAGCGGCACGCAGAAAATTGTGTATTGAATTGATTAACTGCATCTGACAAACATTTCTTGCACGCACGCGTAAATCAGTTTGCGATCTTTGTTGGTTAGATTGACCAACACAAGAAACCCGAATCTTGGGTACAACACTAAAGTGTAATTGTAAAGCTGGTTAACCATATTTATCCATCCAACACCCAACAATTAAAATATTTTATTAAAATTTCATTATCTTTATCTCACTCTTTGTCTTTTGCCAATGATATTTTTGACCACGTACCTAAGGCTATGAAATAAGTGGAAACAAACAAACGAAAGACAAAATTCGCCACATTTTTACACCTCAATGTATTGATTTCATCCTAGCTTGTTCTTATTGTCCTCCACAACTCCTCGTTGAAGGGAGAGAATAATGCCTTTATTTAAGTAAGGCGTGATTGATTAGTTATTTTCCGATTTTCGGGTGTCACAAAATTTTGTACCTTTTGGGATTAAAATAGACCAAACCTAGAGGGAGATATGTGAAGCTCGTGAAGAGGGAATAGAAAAAAGCATGGGTTGCAGTTTGTGTTTAAATTTTCATGTGCTCTTGGCTAAGAAACTTTAATGGCTAAAAGTGACCACACGCGCATGTTAACATATAAGTGGTTGGCGAGAAAGGGACTTTGTCGCTTCCAACTTCCAAGATCATGGTACAAGGGAAACCAAATATCAAATATCACCATTGGTAAAATTTGCAGTGGTGGTCCTGTATATTGCACACATATATTTGCACCTAAATATGCTAAACAAAATGTTGTGTGTTTCGGAAAGTAGACATGTTGAAGCTCGTGACTCTATTCATTTCGAATTGAATGACTGATAGTTTAAGATCGTAAATTTTTTCTGCGTAGTAGCTAGCTTGTTCAAATTAGAAGGCATTAAAATGTGGCAGAGGGACAAGAAGTTATGAAGGAGTGAAATTTAATATGAGAAAGAGTAACGGCATGAATTTGTGTGAATATATACTCTGGATATTAAAAGAAAAAAAAATTGGAAAATTATAAGTTGAGTCTTCCTCTTCGCCTTTTTGCATTGCTTAAAAAAAATCATTTTATGTGAAAATTTTCACAGTTTTTTTTTCTTACCACCAGAATTCTCATTTTATTGAATCAGAGACTATTTATCTTACTTCTTGCAACATTATAATTGACATTAACACAAAGAGCTTCCATACACGACAAAAATCAAACGTAAAATTCTGTAGTATATAAATTGTTTTCACAACTTTTAAGTACAAAATGTTTAACTACTTCTTCGATTCATTTGAATTTCCTTTGAATCTACCTCTTATATAACTTTGTGTTTAACTAGCTTGAAATGTGTGCAAACAATAAATCAAATAAGAGTTGATTTGATTTTGCTAAAGTCGATGATATATCGGATATAAGATAATAAATATAAGTAAATTTAATATTATTTTAGTTGTGTAATCCATTATTTACCGAATAATATACAAATAATACAACTAAATAAAAAAATGTTTGATAATGATTATCCTTTACTGTTTTTTATATATATTATATTTTAGTGTGTATGAAATGTACCCAAAATCATTCTGGAACTTAGGTGCCTTGAAATCGAGGGAGGGAAGTAGTATTATAAGTACGTCAATCATTTTTTGACACAATATTGACTAATAGCATGGGATCAATGCTTCATGACAATGTTACTATCGTGAAAACTTTTGGCTTTTGGGTATGTTAATGTTTTCTTCTTCAAGTATCTTCACTTGTCACTATAACCTCTGCATAACTGCGTCATGACAAATCTTTCAATATCGTGGTATTAAGAAAATTAACTAGAAGAGATAATTAATGAAAAAAAATTCGCGTCACCATGCACATCATGTGCCAAAACCACTAAACCTTCATCAATCATCCACAGGTTTTTTTTTTTTATATATGCTACCATTCTCGTTATATATAATATTAAATTTAAATCACGAGAAGTTCAAATGATTAATTTTACAGATTGTATTTATAACACATCATCATTATCATCAAGAGTGTAGATAATAACCCAATTATTAATGGATGAATTCAACTGTGTTTGCTATCTTATTTTTAATTATGCTAGACCTTTTTCTTTTGATTAATGATAAACGGATGATATGTCCCTTTAGCTTGAAATGAACACATGCATTGCCTAGAACGTACTGAACCAGATCAATAACTGCGTGCGAATTAATTAAATTTGAAGTTGATCTTTATCCAGTGCTGTTATTAGCTAGTGATGACTGTGTAGAATCTTTAAGTTTGGTGGGGTGTGAGATTAGTTTGATTATTAATTCTGTAACACTGCTGTGCTTAAGGGTACGTAAAAACAAGGATTTGTGACTTAACTGCTTCACATATAAAGAGGTTAGGTTTTTATTCCTCCACTATTAGACTCAATTTTTATGTTTAGTTTATGTTTCTTCCAAGTCTTTTCCATTTTAATATTTTCCTTCTCTCACTTTATGAAGATGGTTTAATGTCTGCCAAAGGGTACGGGTTCTTCATGTAGCATGAATTTGGTTTTTTGGATTAATAACTTGTCACATGCTCTTAAGTCCCACCTAATTATGGACCGTGGCACATGGAACCGTTACATGATCAACATCAAATTTTTAACTTCCAAGAGAGCAAAAAACATCCAAATCCAAACAATAATGAACTAATTAATTCTCAATTTTACTACCAACAATTCAGCAAAACTAATAAGATATTTGGTATTTATAAAAATTGGAGAAAAAGAATAAGAAAGTGAAACTTTAGCCCGATCCTTTAAGGAGGAATGAGGATCTTAAAATCTTATGAATAAATAAATAAATAAAAAAAAACATAATTATAAGAAAGACTCCAACAAATTATCAGCATAATTTATGACTAATATTAATCATTAATAAACCATGACAAAAAAAAATATCGCAAACTTCTACATGGCTACCGACATCAACTTTTAAGTATAGAAATAATTAAATTATCATTAGCTGAAGTTTACTTTGTTAAAAGACAACGATTTTAAGCATTTGGACTAATCTCAACATAGCTACCAATATCCAGAGACATTTCATAAAATGGAGCGGTAATGCAATAAATATCGCTTTGAACATAAACTTGGTCTGAAAATAATTAAAGCTACTTTTTGATTACAGCTCGTTTTCCATCATAAATGCAAAGTAGTTTACCTGAACCATTACCTTGGTTGGATATGGCTACATACATCTACTATAGCACCACAGTAGCACACTCAGAAACTGACACATGGTATTAAAATAGTTGAGGGAGGATATATCTTTCTGTTAGAGTAGGTAGTTATATTCTTTTGTAATTAGAGTCTTTATATAAGACTTCTCATTCAATAATAAAACAGATTCTGCTTCTGCAAAATATTTTAAAAATATACAATATTAAATTGAATTAGAACAACTAAAAAATATTACTTAAACTTATTTTCAAAATATATACATTGGATTAAAATTTTTAATACATGGGGTGTATTATGCATTAATAATGTAATTTTTAACTTAATAAATAATAATTGATATAATTTATTTTGAAATATATATCATACAATATATCTTAATTGTAAGTGTATATTTTTTAATTCTACAATTTAATTATATATGATGTTAAAATTAATATATCATGTTAATAAGTTAGATTAACTCAATTTGTCTTACATTTTAATTAACTCTCAGATAGATAGTGTAATTTGTTGATCACTTTAAAAAAAGTGTAACTTAAGTGAAAATATTAATGTGAATTTAAGGATCAAAATAGTTGTAAGTGGTTAAGTTTAGAAACTTACATAAAATAATTGAAAATTTCAAGAACTTATTTTAAAAAGTTCAAGAGACTAAACAGCTCTTATACCATGTCACTTACATTAGAATGTTCTAATGGTAAAACTTGTAAGAAAATACTACAAAAATATCTAATAAAACAATGTTATACACTTTTCAAGAATAAAATAGTAATTTATTAAAAAAATAACAAGAAAATAAAAAAAAAGTATATATATAATAATAATATTTATAACTTAAATTCATGAAGAAACCGAGAATGGCTTCAAATATTAGCATATTTATTTCATTACATCACTAGCAGTAGTCATGGAGCAAGGAGCATGCATGTCATACTTCTAGAGGGGATTAAGAATAAGAAAGATGTTGATTCACATGGGATATTCATAAACATAAGTTGCTGTTACATTTGTCACAAGCATGGGTTTGTAGTGGCAATTAATTATCTGAATTAGCAATATTCAAATCAAATTAAATAGAGAGGATAATAGGGTGACCCTATCCTACACGCACCAAAATTGCAACCTGTTTATTAATGCATTCATCGTTCGTTCTTTCTCTCCACAGGTAAAGTTTTCTTGCTATTTTTATCTTGAAAAAGCATGGAATAGGATAATCGAGACAAAGCATTTAAGCTCCTATAACGGTCCCTCCCTAGAACATGTCACTGCTTCACGCCACACCTTTGAACTAACGAAACCTATGTTTGTGAGCCCCAAACGCGGCGTTACTTCATTTCTCCTCTGTACCGCATGAAACAGAGTCCCCTGTTGCTGTTGGATTGTTCATTGCAATGAGGTATATTCGGAGCAACAGCTTGAAGAGGCTCTTTTCCTTGAGAAGACGCGGTTCAAGGGAACATGTTTTCAGTCCTAACGCCCAAGAAAACTCTCCACGTGAAGAATCTTCTCCAAGACCCTCTTGGAAATGCTTCTCCTATGAAGAGTTGTTTGATGCAACAAGTGGCTTCAGCTCAGGTAATTCAAGCTTGTTTTGAAAATTCAAGTAAGCTTTTTTTTTTTCTTTTCTTTTCTTTCTGTTAATGTTACTATTTTTCTTTTGTTGCTTGTTGTGACAGAAAATTTGGTGGGAAAAGGAGGGTATGCTGAGGTTTACAAGGGAACAGTGAATGGTGGTGAGGAAATTGCAGTGAAGAGGCTCACAAGAACATCAAGGGATGAGAGAAAGGAGAAAGAGTTTTTGACAGAGATTGGAACAATTGGTCATGTGAACCATTCCAACGTGTTGCCTCTTCTGGGGTGTTGTATTGACAATGGCCTTTATCTTGTTTTTGAGCTATCTACAAGAGGTTCTGTTGCATCTCTTCTTCATGGTACTTTTAAAAAAAAAATCTCTCCTTTTCTCAAAAAATTGAAATTTTGGCAGCAAAATTTGTCATGTTGTCTTAATAGTGTGTGAATTTTCCTTGTAGATGAAAAGTTACCTCCTTTAGATTGGAAAACAAGGCAAAAGATAGCTATTGGAACTGCACGTGGCCTTCACTACTTGCACAAGGGTTGCAAGAGGAGGATAATCCACCGGGATATTAAGGCTTCAAATATTCTGTTAACAAAAGATTTTGAACCACAGGTCCTTTCAATCTGCACTTTAGTTACTTCATAAATCTATTTTAGTTGAACCAATATTACAAATACACTATATTTTTTGATGGGTTTATTTTTTACCAAAGTATTATTATGTGGTATGATTGTGGCAGATATCTGACTTTGGACTAGCAAAGTGGCTTCCATCTCAATGGACTCATCATTCAATTGCTCCAATAGAAGGGACATTTGGGTACTCATCTTTTCATGGACCCTTCAATGATAGAGATATGAATGTTTAAAGAGTATATGAATATGAATGGTTTGAAAATGGATATGTTTGTAGACATTTGGCCCCAGAGTACTACTTGCATGGAGTTGTGGATGAGAAGACAGATGTATTTGCCTTTGGTGTGTTGTTGCTAGAAGTTATCTCTGGGAGAAAACCTGTGGATGGGTCTCACCAAAGCTTACATAGCTGGGTAAGTAGACCCTCCTTTTTTCTTTGTTCTCTCGTTGGCGTGTTCCATTGGAAAATGCCTTTTGGTTTCTTCTAGAATAGTGATGACTTTTAACTTTGGTTAAGAAATTAATTAAACGTTTATGGTGCATTAACCATGCATGTTGAATAAATAGGCGAAGCCAATTTTGAATAAGGGTGAGATACAAGAGTTGGTGGATCCAAGGCTTGAAGGGGCTTATGATGTGACACAGTTAAAGAGAATTGCATTTGCTGCCTCTCTTTGCATTCGGGCATCTTCAACTTGGCGACCTACCATGAGTGAGGTACCTCTTCTCTTTGGATTCACGTGTTTGTTTGCCTTCTATTACAAGAAAAGAAAACAATGATTAGGAAGTTATTAATGAAGAATTATGGTAAGAATATGTTAGAAATTATAGGGAGGATGTATTCATAATATTTTGTTATGAAAAATTTATTTTTGATTCTTTAACTCGTATTTTTAAGATACTGGTTAGCATTTATTAAAGAAAAGTGTATATATTTTTATTTTTAAATAAAAACATTTTAAATAATTTATATTAGTTATTTGATTATTTTTTTTTGAAAGAACAGTAATATTTTAAGAAACCATTTTTGATGTTTCTCACAAGTTAAAAAAAATAATAGCTTCGAAAACAAAACATATCTTACTATAATAAGCTCAATGGATTTATAAATTACTGCTTTCGTTAAATAATTTATTAATTTGTTTATTTGGTTTGTTTGGTAATTACTCTTTTGGCATCGTGAAAGCCCTCAAACCATGTTAGGGTTTCAACCGCCTGGGATCTTGGGCTCTACTTTTACTCTTGATGGGACCAATGCTAGCAAAAATAATTTACAAACTATTGATTTCTTATTCTCCTCACTTATTTTAGAATAACTAACTTCGTATTTGGAAAATTGTGAATACATTTATATTAAGGAAATGTTTTATTGATAAGTTAAAATGTCATTTATTTATTAATAATTTGTATGGTGGTGCTTTTACTATTTTAGTAATTATGAGTGAAAACAGGAAAGGGTCTTATTAATAGTGAGTGAAATCAAATGAGATGAAACGATATTAAGTGAAATGGCATGAAATAAAAATATTATTCTATTGTTTGAAAACTTCTATGGTGGAGAGAATAAAGAGGCACAGGATGCAATGAGATGAAATGCATTCTCATTGGATTCCCCTTAATTTGACCTTATTTTAAACGATTCAAACATTATAACTTACTATTAATTATTTTATTGTATTCATTTTGATTAATCCAAGTGAAATTTAAGAGCACTAATTAAGAAATAATTAATTTATTAAAATTATTATCGTCATTAACATTTACAAATAGGAATCATCCTCGTCTTTCCATCAATTTTCCTTTGCCAAGACCAGCTTGGATTTGGTCATTAGATTAATTAGGATAATTAAAAGAGTGGTATAATTAACCACCACGATATGACACAAGTAAAAACACATTTGATGTGTAGGGA